CCTGCTGCACGGCAAGGCCAGCTTGGCGAGCCTGGCCATGGCCGCCATCCGCAAGAAGCTGGTGGTGGTGGGGGACGGTGCCTGTGGCAAGACTTGCCTCCTCATCGTCTTCAGCAAGGACGAGTTCCCCGAGGTCTACGTGCCCACTGTCTTCGAGAACTACGTGGCCGACATCGAGGTGGATGGCAAGCAGGTGGAGCTGGCCCTGTGGGACACAGCCGGCCAGGAGGACTATGACCGCCTGCGCCCACTCTCCTACCCAGACACCGACGTGATCCTCATGTGCTTCTCTGTGGACAGCCCGGACTCGCTGGAGAACATCCCGGAGAAGTGGGTGCCCGAAGTCAAGCACTTCTGCCCCAACGTCCCCATCATCCTGGTGGCCAACAAGAAAGACCTGCGCAACGACGAGCACGTGCGCAATGAGCTGGCCCGCATGAAGCAGGAGCCCGTGCGCACCGAGGATGGTCGTGCCATGGCCATTCGCATCCAGGCCTACGACTACCTGGAGTGCTCGGCCAAGACCAAGGAGGGCGTCCGGGAGGTCTTCGAGACCGCCACGCGGGCAGCCTTGCAGAAGCGCTACGGCACCCAGAACGGCTGCATCAACTGCTGCAAAGTCCTATAGGGCCCAGCTGGAGCGCGGCGCTGGGCACAGCGCCTGGGTGGGTGGGGGGGAGGGGGGAAATTGCATGCCCTGAGTCTTGGGAATCAAGTGGGGAAAAGCCTTTCTCCCACCACTGGACTCGACCAACAAGAAGCTGCTGAGACTGGACTGAGCAAACATTGCACCCAGCTCTTCCCCTTGGCCCACCACCTGCTGCTCCCAGCTCCCAGCCAGCCTCCTCTCTCCTGCAAGAGGAGCACGGTGGAGCTGAGAGGCTGGAAGGGACCTCTGCCTCCTGCCTGCATGTGCCTCCCCCCGGGCGGGCTGGGGAAGGGGGCTGCGGCTCCCCAGCTGCCTGCAGCATCCTCGCCTCCCCCGCAGACGTTTCGGCCCGAGACTGACCTGCCGTGGAAGTTAGTGCCCTGACGACCGGGACTGGGACGGGAGGGTCATCCCAACAGACGCCTGTATATATCGTACCTTTTCTGTCTTGTGCAAACTGGGGTAGTGCAGGGGGTGCTTATTTAAAGTGAGGTGGGGAGGGGGTGCCCAGCTGGGGCTTGTGTTGTGTGAAGGAACTTGTCCGGAGTGACCGATGCCTGCTGAGAACGCGAGCTGTGAACTGAGTGCAGCCTCAGCAGCCACCGGGCTGGAAAGTGAAGCTGAGCTGCTCTGTCCTCCTTGCTGGATGCCCTCCTCCTGACAGGATGGGCGAGGGCGAAGGGGAGGATATTGCCATATTATGATCTTGGTGCCTGCTCCTTCTTTTAATGTTGTCTTCTGCAAGTATGCCGATTTGGGTTTATTTAAAAGTTTATTTTCAAAAGAAATTACTTTGCACAACTTGGTGGGTTTTTGTTTTTTTTAAATGAAACACTCGATGCACCCGTCATCTGCATACAGCACTGTAGCATTGGAAACATTCTTACTCGGTAACCTCATCTGGGTCTTGTTTTAAATTGTGATTTCAACACAAGACGAAATAAAACCACTGTATCTTTTTGCCTTGGAAAAAAGTGGGTGAAAGCACTGTTCCTTGTGCAGTGACTACATCAGACTTTAATACTAAAGGGCAGTTTAGAGAATCTAGGTGTATTTAAAACTTTATTTTCACAGGGTAGCTAACCCAGGTGAAAATAATCTTGTGTTTCTCTGGTTCAGAGAACAAATATATTCATTTATGTTTGTTTACTTTTCTCCCTCTTCCCTTAACAGTGGTACTGAGACTGTTCTGGTTTGTTTTTAATAAACTGACGTGGCAAAAACTGAGATGTATATGATGTTTACATAAAATTATGAACTGTGTATGCAGTTTTTTATGTAAAGTATTAAAAGATTCTATGCTGACGCTTGTGCGAGTGGCGTTGTGGTTCGCAGGGACTGTCCTCAGCTTGTGACAACACACCTGGGTGGTGCTGAACTCGGCCAGAGTTTGCCCGCTGCCTGCATGTGGTCATTTGTATTTTCTTCACCAAGAAGGCTGAAATACCTGTCTGGCAGCCTTCAGAGAAACTAGAGTTATATTTTCCTTTGGGGGAGCTACTTCCTGAATTTTTCTGTGCAGATGGCGTGTGGCGGTGCGCTCAGAACGCAGGGTGGTGACCCATCCACCTGTGCTGCTGCGGAGCACAGGGACCCTCTGTCACCCGCTGTGCGGGGGCCGAGGCGTGGGCTTGTGCAGCAACAGACGGGCAGAGAGCTGAAAAGCAGAGGGGGCAATGGGGCTTGTTTTTCAAACAAAATACTTAGATAAAAGCAGTTTTTATTAGTGACCTCGCCTTTGCTGGGAGTGAATACCTCCGTGTGCTGCAGCGGGGCTTGGGGATGGGCTCGGCGTGCCGCGGGGTCGGAAGCGGGAGGCTGCGCTTGCACTGCGGCAGTCTCCCTAGATTTCCTAATTACTGGCCTCGTTAATTCCTGTAGCAATGTAAGAAGCCGAGGCCTCTCGGTGTTGGGGATGCCTGGCAGGGCATGGTGCCTGCCTCTTCCCTCGCCCTCTCTGTGCATCCAGGCGTGCTGCCTGCCGCGGAGTGAGCACCCGGGCAGGGGCACGAGGCCTGCGAAGAGGTGGCCTGGTGCAAAATCCCAGGACAGTTCTATGTTTTTATAAATCTTCTCAATGACTTTTGCAGAGACATGAGAAAGCAATGGAGCCTTTTGTTTTCCTAGCCTACGGATATCTGCTAGGGTCACCCGTCTCACTACAACCTCCTTTCAGGTAGTTGTAGAGAGCCATAAGGGCCCCCCTCAGCCTCCTCTTCTCCAGACTAAACAGCCCCAGCTCCCTCAGCTGCTCCTCGTAACACTTGTTCTCCAGACCCCTCACCAGCCTCGTTGCCCTCCTCTGGACACGCTCCAGCACCTCAATGTCCTTCTTGTAGTGAGGGGCCCAAAACTGAACACAGTACTCCAGGTGCAACAAAGTGTTTGAGGTTTAATAGCGTGGAAAGACTGGGTTTGCATTTTAAACACTTCCAACATTAGAGTACTTGCTCCGTCCATCCCATGAGTTTATTGTGTTGTTCCTTGTGATCCTTAATGAAAGACAGTGGCATTTTCCCTTAGATAATTTAGCCAGGATTTCTTAAAAGGTATATAAGTCTCCTGTTTTGGGTATCTGTCTCCAAGGATTTAAATTTTCATGATACTCAAAGGGTGAGCATCGTATCTTCAGTTTGAGAATCCTAAAATCACTTTTTGGTTGTAAAACATCCTTTGGAAAAAAAACCCAAAATCTCTATTTTTGACATTTAAAGGGCTGCAGCCAAAGACCCCGTTCTTGTAAAGGCACTCAGAAGCCCAGTGCTGTGCATTGTAGCACCGTTCTGTACAATGTCAACCAGTGATATTAAAAACAGTATGGGAAACTGTTTCCTTAAACTGATTGCAATAGCTGCAAAACTTAAAAATTCTGTTAGGCTGCTGCAACAGCCAATCTTCTCAAAGCCCCAAAGGAGAAAGCATTAATATTTGGATGTTAAACACTGGGAAATGAGTTAGCATTGCATCCCTGTATAATTAACTATACCAATATTTTCCACTAAGGTGCTTACAAGGTAATTACATTCGTTATTTCCAGTTGGACCTTTGCCCAACTCAGGGCTACAGCATCTGGCCCGAGGGGGAAAAGCTGCAAGAAAACACATTTCAGTTTTAACCGAGCGTGACCTTTCTCGGCTACTTGCGGCGCCGGGAGCAAGCCGACAGAGTGAGGTCACCGTGTGGGCGTCCGCCCGTCGGGGTCAGGTGGTGGGACCGGAGCCACGACTCGTTTTGCTTTGTGCCGCGTTGCTACGCTTGCTCATTAGCGTCACCGCTTTGGCGGAGGGGGACACGAGGTGTGCCCCGTCCCACCCACCTTGACTCAGCCACCCCGACACGGCCAGGCTGAGGCCCCACGGCTGCACTGGCTGTGGTGTGAGGATGTCGCACCCACCAGCTCCACCACAGCTGTGTCTGCCCCAGCTTGGGGCAGGCCACCCGACAGCCCACCCCACGCCGCGTGCTCACGCACAGGACTGGTTTCACATCGACCTCCCCATGCTTGTCGTCATCTGGCCCCTTAGCTCATGTTCATCTGGTCCCAGTCTGCCTCCTGTAACCTTTTGACAGGAGAAGAGGTGACACTGAGCAAGCCCATCAGAGCATCAAAGGAAGGTCAATGGCAACTCACCTCACAGTCCCTGTGCACACTGCTGGCACGCAGTTACTTTCCCAGCTGTGTCCACATGCCTGCACAGATGTCCTCAGCTGAGGAAAGGTTGCACCTTCCCTTATTCTGTTCAGGTCAAGTTCAACATCTGCAGAAGCTGTTTCTTCTGGTGGGAGCCAGAGCTCCACGGGGTTAGTTTGCTCCGTAACGGTACCAGTGCGTCCTTAGCAGCAAATTGTGGAAATGTAGAAAAGCCTCGCTGAAAGGCCGATTCATCTCCATCAACTGTGATGAAGTTTCAGGACATGGTTTAGCAGGCATGGTGGTGCTGGGTTGATGATTGGACTTAACGGTCTTAGAGGTTTTTTCCAACCTTAATGATTCTATGGTTCTATGATTCTACGTTTCTAAGTGAGGAGGCCACTTGTGTGCTCCCACCCTGGGACCAGGTTGGACCCTCTGACCATGTGAAGGTGTCTCGTCTGGGCAGCCGGAGAACGAAGCCACCCGGGGAAGGTCGGTGCCACCTCCTCGCTTTCTGGAGACACAGCAACAGCAGCTGTGAGTGCTCCCTGTATGATCAAATAGAGACTCTCAGTTTAGAAAGCACGGTCCCTAGGGTGTGCCCAACAAAGGAGAAGTCGTCTTTGGTGGGAGAAAGAAGTCAGTAAAAAGGAGTCAGCACTTTTGGCAAGGTGGTTTTTAAAGCACCTGTTACACACTGGAATTAAACTGCAGGTTTTTGCTAGGTTTTTTAACTCTCCTGCAACTCCGCATACCACAGTGGGGTTGTGTGCAGAATTTGAAGCAATAAGTCCTCTGGTATGGCTTTCTGGTTTTGCAGCAATAATTAAATTCAGCTCCATTTGCCTCACACTGTGTTGGACAGGTTGCAAGTTTATTTTAGCATTTCAATGAAGAATTAACACAAACTCCCTGCAGTAAGAGAAAAAAAAAGTACTTTGAGGAAGTCCACAAATGTTTTATTAGAATCAGCGTTGCTAACTGTATTTCACTAACAGGTTTTATTCCTTGACTGCAGAAAGTAAAATAATGTCTGATTTGATCCTTCAGATATTAGTGGACTCTAGCACTAGTTAACCCAGTTCTTTTGGTTTTGCTGGTTCTCTAACAATATCTATTTGCAAATAGAAATCACATTAATAATCCATTGAGCTAACTTTAAAGGATGTATCTAAGACAAGCCATTTGTCCCTGCAGCGCTGAAAAACCATTCGCACATCTGGCTAACCCAGTGTCTGCATGAAGATATCGATAGATGCTCCAGGTCAGCGGTTCAAGCCTGACTCACTGTTAGGCAGCCAGCAGACGTGGTGGGTGGAGGAAGCTGCTAAGCATCTACTGCAAGGAAGATTTTGGAGAAAGATTTAGAT